ACAGCTGAGTAATATTCCACAGTATATATACCTCTTCTTTGTCCATTCATCAGTCAATGGAAATTTAGGCTCTTTCTATAATTAGGCTATTGGTGATACTGATGCTATAAACAACAGGATGCATGGACCACTTCCAATCAGTATTTTTGTATCCTTTGGGTAAATACCTAGTAGTGCAATTGCTGGATCATAAGGTAGTTCTAATTTTTAACATTTGAGGAAACTCCCTACTATTTTCCAGAGTGGCTACAAGAGTTTCCATTCCCACCAACAGTGTAAGAGTGCACCTTTCACTGCATCCTCACCAACACCAGTTGTTGTGCTGTTAAGTTTAGCCATTCTGACTGATGTGAAGTGACATCTCACTATAGTTTTGATTTGTATTTCCCTAATGATGAGTGATGTTAAGCATCTTTTCATGTGTCTATTAGCCATCTATAGGTCTTCTTTGGAAAAATATCTATTCATGTCTTCTGCCCATTTTTTAACTGAATTATTGGGGTTTTGGGTGTTAAGTTTTATAAGTTATTTATATATTTTGGATACTAACCCTTCATCAGATATGTCATTTGCAAATATCTTCTCCCACCTGAAGGTTGACTCTTAGTTTTTTAAATTGTTTCCTTCACTGTGCAGAGGCATTTTATCTTCATGTTGTCCCAATAGTTCATTTTTGCTTTTGTCTCCCTTGCTTCAGGAGACATATCTGGTAGGAAATTGCCATGGCTGATGTCAAAGAGGTTACTACCTGTGTTCTCCTCTAGGATTTTGATGGTTTCAGGCCTCACATTTAGGTCTTTAATTCATATCAAATTTATTTTTTTTGTATGGTGTAAGAATGTGGTTCATTTTCAGTCTTTGGCATATTGCTGTCCAGTCTTCCCAACACTATTTGCTGAAGAGACTGTCTTTTTCTCCACTGGATATTCTCTCCAGCTTTGTCAAAGGTAGCTGACCATGTAGTTGTGGATCCATTCCTGGGGTTTCTATTCTGTTCCATTGATCTATGTGTCTGGTTTTGTGCCAGTACCATATTGTCTTGACCACTACAGTTTTGTAATATAGATTGAAGTCCAGAATTCTGAGGTCTCCAGCTTTTTTTTTTAATGTTTATTTATTTTTGAGAGGGAGAGACAGACAGAGCATGAGTGGGGGAGGGCAGAGAGGGAGGGAGGGAGACACAGAACTTAAAGCAGACTCCAGACTCTGAGCTATTATCAGCAAAGATCCCAATGCAGGGCTCAAAATCACAGACCATGAGGTCATGACCTAAGCCAAAGCCGGACACGTAACTGACTGAGCCACCTAGGCCCCCCTCCAGCTTAGCTTTTCTTTCTCAAGATTGCTTTGGCTATCTGGAGTCTTTTATGGCTCCATACAAATTTTAGGACTGTTTGTTCTAGCTCTGTGACAAATGCTGGTGGTATTTTGATAGGGATTGTATTAAACGTGTAGATTGCTTTGGGTAGTATGAATTTAAACATTACTTGTTCTTCCAACCCATGAGAATGGAATGTTTTTCCATTTCTTTGTGTCATCTTCAATTTCTTTCATCACATTTATACATAGTTTTAAGAGTACAGGCCTTTTACCTCTTTGGTTATGTTTATACCTAGGTATCTTATTGTTTTATTGTGCAGTTGTAAGTGGGAATGATTCCTTAATTTCTCTTTCTGCCGCTTCATTATTGGGATATAGAAGTGCAACAATTTCTGTATGCTGATTTTGTATCCTGCAGCTTTACTGGATTCCTGTATCAGTTCTAGCAGGGTTTTTTGGTGGAGTCTTTTGGGTTTTCTACACAGAGTATCCTGTCATCTGCAAATAGTGAAAGTTGGACTTGGTCCTTGCTGATTTGGAGGCCTTTTGTTTCTTTTTTGTTGTCTGATTGCTGAGGCTAAGAATTCCAGTATTACGTGAAATAATAATGGTGAGAGTGGACGTCCTTGTCTTCCTTCTGACTGTAGAGGAAAGGCTCTCAATTTTTCCCCGTTGAGGATGACATTAGCTGTGAGTCTTTCATATACAGCCTTTATGATGTTCAGGTATGTTCCATCTATCCCTACTTTGTTGAGAGTTTTTATTGACAATAGATGCTGTACTTTGTCAAATGCTTTTTCTACATCTATTGGCAGGATCGTACGGTTCTAATCCTTCTTACTGATGTGATGTATCACATTGATTCATTTGTGAATAATTCTTTTAATGTACTGTTGGATTCAGTTTGCTATTGTTTGCTGAGACTGTTTGCATCCATGTTCATCAGGGATCTTGGCCCGTAGTTCTCTTTTTTAGTGGAGTCTGTCTGTTTTGGGAAGCAGGGTAGTACTGGCCTCATAGTATGATTTTGGAAGCTTTCCTTCCATTTATATTTTTTGGAATAGTTTGAGAAGAATATGTATTAACTCTTCTTTAAATGTCTGGTAGAATTCCCCTGAGAAGCCATCTGGCCCTGGACTTTTCTTTGTTGGGCGATTTTTGATTACCAATTCCATTTCTCTGCTGGTTATTGGTCTGTTTCAGTTTTCTATTTCTTCCTGTTTGAGTTTAGTAGTTTATATATTTCTAGGAATTTATCCATTTCTTCCATATTGTCTGATTTGTTGGCATAAAACTTTTCATAATATTATCTTATAATCATGTGTATTTTTGTGGTGTTGGTTGTGATTTCTCCTCTCTTGTTTGCGATTTCATTTATTTGGGTCCTTTCTCTATTTCCAGTAAGTCTGGCTGGGGGTTTCAATTCTATGACTATTTTCAAAGAACCAGGTGATCTGTTCTACTGGGGTGTTTTTGTTGCTATTGTTGCTGCTTTTATTTCTGTTCTATTCTTTATTATTTCCCTCCTCTGCTGGCTTTAGGCTTTGTTTATTATTCTTTTTCCAGCTCCTTTAGGTATAAGGTCAGGTTGTCAGTTTGAGATTCTTCTTGCTTCTTGAGGTAGGCCTATATTGCTGTATTTCTCTATTATGACTGCTTTTGTTGTATCCTGAAGGTTTTGGATCATTGTGTTTTCATGTTCATTTGTTTCCATGTATTTTAAAAATTTCTTCTTTAATGTCCTGGTTGACCCATTCATTCATTCGTAGCATGTTATTTAACCTCCATGTGTTTGTGGTCTTTGCAAATTTTTCCTGTGGTTGGCTTACAGTTTCATAGCATTGTGGTCAAAAAATACGCATGGCATGATCTTCTCAATCTTTTTGTACTTATTGAGGTGTGACTTGTGACTTAGTATGTGATCTATTCTGGAGAATGTCCCATGTACACTTGAAAAGAATGTGTATTCGGCTGCTTTTTGGATAAAAGCTCTGAATATTTTTGTTAAATTCATCTTGTCCAGTGTGCCATTCATAACCATTGTTTCCTTGAGTTTTTGCTTAGATGACCTGTCCATTGATGTAAGGGGGGTGTTAAAGTACCCTACTATTATTATATTATTATCCATGGACTTCCTTTATGTTTGTTATTAACTATTTTATAAACTTGGATGCTTTCAGGTTGGGGACATAGATATTTACAATTCATAGTTCTTCTTGTATAGTTCCTTTAATTATGATATAGTTCCCTTCTTTTTACAGTCTTTGGCTTATAAACTAGTTTGTCTAATGTAAGTAATACTACTATAGCTCTCTTTTGATATCCATTTGCCTGATAAATGTTTTCCCATCCCTTCACTTTCAATCTGCAGGTGTCTTTTGGTCGAAAATGAGTCTTTTGTAGGCTAAATATAGATGGATCTTGTTTTGTAATCCATTCTGACTCCATGCCATTTGATTGGAGCATTTAGTCCATTTACATTTACATTCGGAGTAATTATAGATAGATATGTACTCAGTGCCATTTTACTACTTGTTTTGACATTTTTTTCTGGAGATTCTTTCTGTTCCTTTCTAGACTTTGTTGCTTTTGCTCTGCCCAAAGAGTTCCCTTTAATATTTCTGGCAGGGCTGGTTTAGTGGTCATGAACCACTTAAGTTTTTGTTTATCTGGGAAACTCTTCATCTCTCTTTCTATGCTGATAGATAGGATACTCTTGGCTCCTGACTTTTCCCATTCAGCACTTTGAATATACTATGCCACTCCCTTCTGGTTTTCCAAGTTTCTGTGGAGAGATCTGCTAACCTTTTTGGTCTTCCCTTGTAAGTTAGGAACTTCTTTTGTCTTGCTGTTTTCAGGATTTTTTTTTCTTATCACTATATTTTGCAAATTTAATTACAGTATGTCTTGGTGTTAGCCAACTTCTGTTGATTTTGATGGGAGTTCTCTGTCCCTCCTGGATCTAGATGTCTGTTTCCTTATCCAGATTAGGGAAGTTTTCAGCTATAATTTCCTCAGATAAACCTTCTGCACTCTTTTCTTTCTTCTTCTTCTTCTTGGATTCCTATGATACACATATTATTACATCTGTAGGAGTCACTGAGTTCCCTAAGTCTACTTATGTAATCTGAGACTTTCCTTTCCATCTTTTGATCAGCTTCCTTATTTTCCAAAATTCTAACCTCTCTATCACTTAATTGTTCCTTTGCATCTTCCATCCTTGTGGTCAGTTTCAAATCTCAGTTGTTGCATTTTTCATTCCAGCCTGATTGGTTTTTAGCCCTTTTATCTCTGTGGTAAGAGTCTACCTGATGTCTTCTGTACTTTTCTCAAACCCAGCGAGTAGCCTTATGATTGTTGCTTTAAATTCTGATTCAGGCATATTACTTATATCTGTTTCACTTAGATCCCTGACCATGACCTTTTCTTGTTCTTTCTTTTAGGATGAATTCCTCCATCTTGGCATTTTGTCTAGGTTCCTGTCTTCTGTGTATTGAGAGCCTATTATGTTTGTTGCTCCTGAGAGAAATGGCTTTATTATGAAGAGGTCATATACTGTCCAGGGCCTCACACTCGAGGAAGTATCTCTGCTGTGTTACTCTGCTGCTGTGTTATGGCTGCTCTATCCTTCAGGCAGTCTTCTGCAGCTTCTCCTTTCCTATAGTGGGGAGTGTTTGGACCTTGGACAGAGTGTGGTGAATTTAATTAGGTGTGCTCTGGTCTGTTTGATGAGACGTGATGCTATTTCCACTAGAGCTGAAGCTTTGCAGAACTCTATGGTCAGGAGACGAGATGTGGTGCTTGCAGGTGGGGGGGTGGTGGTGGTGGTGGTGGTGGTGGTTGTGGTGATGGTCTTCTGGAGGATGGGGGCGCTGCGCTGGTCCTGAGGCACACTTGGCTGAGAAAAACAGTCCCAGCAGAGCGCAGGGGGGCAGGACTTGGAGTAAGCAGATTAGGCAGTCAGTGTTGGTGCTGTGCTGTTTACTGAAGTTGATTTATGCTGAGGGGTAGAGGAGGGAAATGGCACCAGCCCACTCCTTTGTCCCTGGAGAGGGGAGTTCATGCTTGCTGCTCTCAGGGAAGCACTTTCAGAGGAGCGATAATTTCTCCTCATGTGTCACAGGCATTTTTCAGATCCCTGATCTCACACTGTCTCTGAGTCACTTGCCTGCCTGGAGCAGCACAGTGTATCTTGGGCTCTACCCTAGACAGGCCTGCTGACTAGAATTCCAAACTTGAGGGAGCTGGAGTGACAGGGATCTACACTGGTCCTCTGGGAAAGGGTCTCGCCACACTGTGACTGATACAGGTTTGACCCAGAAGGGCAGTCATGCCAGAGCACAGGGACCTTGGGATTTGGAGCAAGCCCACTGAACAGCCAGAGTCCCAGTTAGCTGCCCTCAGCAGATGTGTCTGCACCTATGCTGAGGGGCAGGGGAGGGAAATGGCATCTGCTGGCTCATTTGTCCCCAGAGAGGCAATGCCAGCTCTCATGGATGAGCTCCAAAAGGTATGAACGGTCTCAACACGTGTCCCTAAGGCGACCTCAGATGGCACTCTGTCTGCCCCAGGGTTGTTTGCTTGTCTCTTCTCCAGGAGCAGGGCAGAGTCCTCAGGTCTCTGTCACAGCCAGTCCCAGGGACCTCTAAAACTCCAGTCTGTGAGCCCTGCTAGTAGCAAAAATATGAAATTCGGCCCCTCGCCAAGTCATTGGCTTTGGGGAAGTGTATCCCTTTCTTCCCCAAACCACGTCTCAGCACTTCCTGCCTTTCTCCATGTGACCTCTTCTCTCCCTCAGATCGATGTCTTCAGTATCCAGAACGACTTGACAGTTATTTAGCTGACTTAGGCAGACCAGGCACGCCTAGGGTCCTCCTACTACGCCACTATCTTAGCTCCCCATCCTGTGTTCTATCATTTTTAGCAGCCAAAACCGGACATTTAGACAGGACAATATTCTAAACAGTGACTCAGTTTAGTTAGCATAACCTTTGAATACAACTTAATCTGTTTTGGACTCCTGGCTCACAGTCACTTTCATAAAATATTTTCTTAAAGTCCATTTTATGAGCTTTCCTGAATTTAAAAAATACCCTTAAATAAATATTTTGATGCTCTCTTTCATTATTGATGCTTTCCATTTGAGATTACATCTTTATCAGGCTAGTAGAAATGTTAAAGAGAAACATATCCATTCAGATAATTCTGGAGAGTACTCATATTTTTAAATTAATGTTAAAATCATGTTCTCATCCATTAAACTGATCCTCCATGTTTGTGGTATTTTAAACATAGCTGAATTCAACATATTGTACAAATGCTCTATGAGCAGCCTCAAAGGAAAAGGATGTCTCTCTATGACCTTACCATAAACTGGACCAAAAATTCTGACCAGGATTATCAAAAGAGGGCAATTATACAGTATTATCCTTTATATCATAATTAGACTAATTCCGTAGGTGTATATTATACCACAAGTTTCCTTCCCCTTTCCTTACACTCCCAGAGACAGAGATTGAAATGACTTCAGTTCATTTTACCCAGCCTCTTCTTTTTACAGCTAAAATTGAGGCCCAGAAAGAGACATACCCTAGATTACAGTATTTGCCAGATCTCAAGTCATCTTACTGCGTGCCCAGTGTTCTTTCCGCTATACCAATATCCACGTTTAGGGTATGGATGAAATCAGATAACCTCAGGAGACAGAGAAGAAAGGGAACTAGGATGAAAAATACAAGGTTGCAGTTGGTTTAGAGTGTTCGCCGTGGAAGAGAGTATGTTCAGCTGATCATCCCAGCTTCTCACCCTGCAACTCACTATGATATGTACTAGGCTATTGGCATAGATCCATGAGTAATGGATAACAGTAATACTGACTTTGCTATAGGGACATCATAAAAAAAAATCACAAAACACTGAATCAACCAAACATTTATGTCCTATCCAACGCTACCAGTAACTGAAGAATGTGGCCATAATTGTCTGGAGATGAACTGGATTCATGGAAAATTCGACCCCAATATGTCTCTAAACAATGTAAATAAATTTCTTCTACTCTAGTCCTTATTTTTGATGAAATTCTCTTTCAGGGACATCTCAAACATAATTCTACCACCAGCAATTTCCAGAAACAGATTACAAGGAAATTAGTTAGGAAACACTGGGAAGATTAAGGACAGAACAGTGACAAAAATTAATTCATTTTGACTTTGCTAATTTGTGACTGGATGAATCAAATGACAGTTGTTAGAAATCTCAGGTTTCAGATTGAACTATATATCCTGAGAGAAATGTAAAATGGCATCCATGGAAAAGTTCATTGAGGCTAGCTGAGTTGCATATAAAAAGGGCATTCAGTATCTTATATATAAATAAGAATGGAAATACATTCATGTGTGCATGTAATTATTGACTTCTATTATTATCCCCCCTTCATTTCCAGAGTTACCATTTGTATTATGAGAGGAAAACATGATACAGCAGAATAATCCCAGCTATTCAATTAAGACAGACTTGGCTTTAAATCTTGACCTCACTCCAGTTATGAAATTAATTAACTTCCCTGAACGAAAAACTCTTCGTCTATAAAACAGAGATACTAACATTACCTCCCATAAAGCATTTTTACGTTGAATTTTTCAACAAATGGTAACTGAATCATGTTTACAGGCTAGATAAAACCATCCTAACACCGTCTCAGTTACTAAAATAAAAAAGATATTAGAAGTGTCAGATAGAGAATAAACTGAGGGCCGATGGAGGGTGGTGGGTGGGGGGTGGGCTAAATGGGTGATGGGTATTAAGGATGGCACTTGGGGATGCCTTGGTAGGTCAGTCAGTTAAGTGTCTGACTCTTGATTTTGGCTCAGGTCATGATGTCACGGTTCATGGGATTGAGCCCTTTGTCTGGTTCTGCGATGACAGCATGGGGCGTGCTTGGGATTCTCTCTCTCCACCTCTCTCTCTGCCCCACTCTTGCTCATGCTTTCTCTCCCTCTCTCTCAAAATAAATCAATAAACATTAAAAAAAAAAATAAAAGGAGGGTACTTGTGTTGAGTACTGGGTGTCATATGTAAGTGACAAATCACCAAATTCTACTCCTGAAAACAATATTACACTATATGTTAACTAACTAGAATTTAAATAAAATTTTGAAAAAAATAAAGCTAAAATACATTTTTTTAAAAATGTCAGATACAGAAAATACAAATTAGATATTTTTAGTACATTGACATTTCTCTATATTTGCCGATCAGGGAGTTTTGCTACTTTATGAAAATAACCTCTACATTTAAGGAGTCTATGGACAATGATTTATCCATAGCAGTTATTCTCGAAGTGTGGTCTACAGACTTTTTGGTTCTCCCCAAGACCCTTTCATGGGATCTGTGAGGTTAAAATCCATGTTCTGAGTAACAGTAGGGCATTACTTCCCTTTTCACTGTGTAGATGTTGGCACTGGGGCTGTGAAGGCCGTGGCAGATCAATCACTGGTGCCTGAGTGGGAATTAAGGCGATAGTTCCCCAAAAAAGTCACTTTCAATTAAGAATATTTTTGAAAGGGGTGCCTGGGTGGCTTAGTCGGTTAAGCGTCCGACTTTCGCTTAGGTCATGATCTTGCGGTTTGTGGGTTAGAGCCACGCGTCGGGCTCTGTGCTGACTGCCAGCTCAGAGCCTGGAGCCTGTTTCAGTCTGTGACTCCCTCTCTCTCTGACCCTCCTCTGCTCACACTGTCTCTCTCTCTCTCCTAGAAATAAATAAAAACATTAAAAAAAATTTTTTTAAAAAAAGAATATTTCTGAAGAAGGAAAATTACTAATTTAACTAAATCTTGACCATGAGCTCATAACTTTTTAATATTCTGTGTAACCCATGAGAAGGACACATAAAACACTTCTAAAATGGAAATAAGATGGTTGCCTTATGGAAAAGCATTTGTGGACTGCTTCAGTTGCCAGCGGAATTAGCCATTTCTTTTCATGGCACGCCATTTTTACTTGATAATAACAACTGACAAACTCTGCCTTTGTCAGAGACAGGTATTGAGCAGATAGTTTCTTGAAAATGAAGAAAATGAACCTATCACTTCAAGGAAAACAACTACCATTGATAAAATTCAAGGTCTTCAGTGAAAAGTAAAATTTTGAAAAACTTGTACCCACCACAGTAAGTGTGAAAGCTTCCTAATACTTCAACTCTCTTCTGATGAGATTGGAGATATTGAAAAATATAATTATGCGGATATTATGCAAGTATTTGCCCAATGGAAATGAAAACACTGATCCACAGAATGTTAATAGGAGCTTTATTCATAATTAACCCAGAGTGAAAACAATACAATCTCCCATCAGCTAATAAGTGGCTAAATAAATTCCAATACACCACTTCTTGCGATGAGCACTGAGTAATGTAGAGAAGTGTTGAATCACTATATTGTACACGTGAAACTAATATAACCCTACATTAATTATACTGGAATTTATAAAACAAATCATTATTTTAAAAATAAAATAAGGGCACCTGGGTGGCTCAGTTGGTTAAGCGTCTGACTCTTGATTTCGGCTCAGGTGATGATCTTACAGTTTATGGGTTCGAGCCCTGTGTCAGGCTCCACGCTGACAGTGTGGAGCCTGCTTGGGATTCTCTCTCTCCTTCTTTCTCTGACTCTCTCTCTCTCTCTCAAAATAAATAAATAATCCTAAAAGTGTTTTCTTAAATAAATAAATCATGGTACATCAATGTAATAGCATACTCAGCAATGAAAAGGGGCTTGGGATGAGCAGAAAAAAATGACCTTCAAAAGATTTTCATGTTTTAATCTCTGAAACCTATCAATGTGTTACCTTACATCATTAAAGGAATTTGCACTTGCGAATAAGGTTAAGGATCTTAAAATA